TCGGCGGGGGGGTTGGACTAGATGACCCACAGAGGTCCCTTCCACCCCCTACCGTTCTGTGATTCTGTGAGTCAGTGTCTAAATGCCTGCCGGTCCTCTCCTCCTGCTCTGCACTAAGGAGCAGGCATTGCGCAGTTCCAAAGGGTAACGCAAGCAAGGCAGCTCACTGCGGTCTTGCAGATGGGGAAATAAAAAAGGGTCAATTCCTCACAGATGTGTTTTTGTAACTAGGCATTCAGATAGTGGTCAGATTTGCATTACTGGATGTAAAAGAGACCAGAAATGAAAAATTAGAAACTCTTTTCATCTTCATTTTTCTCCTGACATATCTCACACAAAGCCTTTTAGTGCCAACTTTAAGATAAGAAAGCAGGATTATTCTCCAAACAGCACACTGAAGAAGTCTTAAAAGCAGCACGATAATGAAACACATTGTTTCACCCCAGCTTCCCTCTTTCTTTCCCATTTTCAGCCGTGACCCTAAGATGTTCAAGGCTTTTGACCCCCTGCTGCTGTGGGGGGTCTCAGCAAGCCCTTCGCTCCCCTCGCTCAGGCTTTTCCAAATAAAAGATGATGAAACACACCTATGGTTTAAGGATTACCTGGGGAAAATAGGTACATTAAGAATAATGTTGTAATTTCCAATCAATGTTTGCAGTCATGCAGCTGGCACAAAGGCAGACAAGCCTGCTTTAAGTGGGATTACTTGTAAAATTCGATGCAAACAAACTTCTGCATCCCCAATGTCACTATTGAAAACTGATAAACTAAGTTATCTTACTTAGTGGCACCTATTACTGAACGTTTATAGTTAGAGAATACGCAATGGGGAAAAATGCTTATTCCTCCCATGATTCACCTTCTCAGCTTCTGGTCCTCAGGGTTTTAGGGGTTTCCTTAGTGGAAAGCTGCTGGACTGATATGTCTGCATAGCCACATGACAAATTCTTCCCCCAAGAGGTGCCTGATGCCACTTAGCACCTGCTGATCCTTTTATATTATGAAAACAAAGAGTATTGGCCCAAAAGTTTCCTGGCAGGTACTACTGGCACACTTTCAACCATCATTCATGCAAGAAAAGGATGGACAGAGGTGTAGCAAAACAGGCAGACTCTGGGTTTCGGCAGTCTGGTCTAGACCAGGCACCAGGGATTCTTCTGTACTACAGGGAAAATAAAAATCAACAAGTGCTATTGCATCAGCTGGAAAAGGCACAAGCCAAGGCAGGTGGGGAAAGCCCTTTTGGATGCAAACCTTTCTACAACGTCTGTTAAAAATAACTCCAGTATTCAAGTACGAGGATCTCACCAGCTCTCAGCAGTAGTATCAAAAAGTGGAGCATAATTAACATGCTGATGTTTGCAGTATTTTTGGTGTCTTGCAAAATTAACTGAAAATGGAGTGGAGCGCCCATCCTACTGCCATAGCACGAGTCTCAATCACAACAGCAGCAAGAGTCTCACCTGCAGCAGACCCACTGCATGAAATGAAAGAGCTTTAGTCTTTTGATTAAATACACAGCTGGGAGAGAGTGTTAGACAACAAAATAAAGACAATACAAATCTAAGATGAGGGAACTAAAATAACTTATTTATACAAATCTCTTTAAAGTACAAAATCACCTGTGAATAAACCAACTCATTCCTCCTCCTTGCGGGCTCTGAAACTGGTTCCAACTTTTAATTTCTGCAGGTGGTCATCAGGTGCAGTGACAAATCAAAACACCATATAAATATTATTCACAAGAAACAAGAAAGCCTGAAAAACATGGAATTAATGCTTCTTATTCTGGGTTTATCTTGCTTTAAAAAGAACACCTCTAACATTAACCGAAACACTCACAGATGCCTCAAGTAAATTCCTGGCAGCCAAGTGTTATGCCCTCCCATACACAGGCACACAGCAGTGTAAAGGCCAGCCTAGAAAGGGGCTGGCAAGCAAGAGCTGGTCAACAAGCAGTTTCCAAATTCAAATATAATCACCACTGAAATGAGAAAAACCAATGAAACCACAGTGATGGGTAAAGAAGTTCCAAACTTGCCTCCAAGCTAGTGTCAGATACAATTAAATTCATTACAGAAGGGATGAGTGGGTAATATCATTTAAAGATGATGCAGAAAAATAAAAATTTTGGTGAGAGAATTCTGCCTGTTTTTTTCCTGATGTATCAGCAATCGCGTTGATTCATGAAGAAACTTGGCTTCAAATGATTTATGAGTGGAAAAACCTTGATTTCACATTTAAAAAAAAAAACCCAAAACACACAACAAAACAAACAGCTATACCTGACACCCCCATTCCCACCTCCCTGTCTGGGAGCAGAGGTACCGCATTGCATCTGTGCTCTCCTGCCTTCTTTAATGTCTTCTGGCCAGCCGAACACAGTTCGCCTATCGTCTCGACTTGAAAATGAAGGAGGGTGCAAAGCCTACAGTAATTTTTCTTTCAGTACTCAACACACAGTCTATGAACAGTGTTAAGTGTTAAACCCCCCCAGGTATTTGAAAAGGCAGCAAAAATAGTATGCTTTCCCAGGTAATCACAATCCTTTGCCTTTAGGCATGTAACATTACTAATTGAGCTCTTTTTCCAAACCCCAAACTCCACAAGGATGGGATGCAGGGCAGAGCATGCTGAGATTTATTACAAGCAAACCAGTCTTTTGACAGCCTTTTTCCCTTTCATCTATCTTAAAGAAAGCAAAAGCACAGCCAAGGCAATCACTCAGCTGGCATCACAGGGCACCAACTGGCATGAGATGGAGCAGGTCCCGCATGAGACTCCCACCATCAGGGAAACCGGGAAAGGAATAAGCAGGTGGTCCTACCCCCTACCGAACCGCAGCCCCCAAACCTATGCCTGCAACACAGATGGCCAGCGAGTCCAAGACCTCCGGAGCAGCTTCCACCCGCAGCCACTTGGTGCCAGCAGCGGACTCTGCATCTGCACGCTGGCAAGGATACAGTAAATCATGAAATTTAACACTCCCCAGTGTTCTTCCTGCAAGCCAGGATGCCCAAGGTGCTGAAGAAATTAGCCTAAAATATAATAGGCGGTATTTTGAAATTGATTAAAAGCCAAGGTGACATGCAAGGAAATCAAAGCCATTCACGGGAGGGTAAGAAGGCAGGCGAGACGGGACACAGCATTTCAGTCTCCCACTGCCAACCTGACCCAGCTTCATGGGCCCAGTCCCAGTAGCCAGTCTACCACATTAGGATACTTTCTATAATCATTTAAAAGACTACTCATAATCTTAAAAATGTGTTAAATACCTCCCACCACCCAAAAAAGCCCATGAGCCAGGATGGACATCTTCATGTTGCTCTATAAGCTGAAATGGGGGCAGGTTTCCCTCTTGCTTAGATTTCTGTCTGAATAAATAACCCTACCTCTCTTTTCTTCAACGCATGGAGGAAAGGCTTCATCAAATGAGGAGAGCAGAAGGCAAATAAACATAATTTTTCTCTGTTTCCACATCCCCTTAATTGCGTAACTTTTCATAGAAAGGCAATACAAGGATCCACCATAAACCGACAGGTCCATAATCCTTCTGCCTCCAGACTTCACAATTTTATCCCCTACTAACCCAATCCACCTTCTCCTGCAGGACATCAAATGGCAGCTTCTGAGAAGCATCCAGCCTGAACCAATTCAGAGACATCACCACAAGAAATATCTTTATTAAAAAACCAAAAATGCTGGAACTTCTTGAACACAGACATTGGTTTCCTTTCACGTCTCCTTCTGCTGTCACCAGCTGCAAGGCTCGCTGCCAGGAAATGAAGCAACTCTGAAGCAGCCATTTGGCACAGGCAGGAGGACTTCCTCTGGGTCCTCCTTAACTGTGGAGACAGGGCATCGCAAATGCCACCACAGACTTGGACCATCGACCTCATTAATGCAGACTTCTCTTGTCTGAGAAACAACAGGGAAGCCAGAAAAGGTCTTTTAAGCAGAAGGTTTAAGGTACAAACAGCATCACGTCTCTGTGAGCACGGACCTGCAGCCCTGGTGCTCTGTAAGTCGCAGGGTGAGGGCTGAATTGCCCCTTCCAGTTCAGACTCAGTTTGGGGCTGGACACATGGCTTCGGCTCCAACACTGCGGTGTTTTGGGAAGAACACGTAAGATGAAACTTTGATCTGCCCTTAGGACATCCCTCCTTCAGAAGAGGGTCAGACTTGGATATCAGATGCTCTTCAGGGGAAGTCACCTCATTTCAGCGGACTCCCTTCCCTCTTTAAATTTGTCACAACGAATAGCATTAATGTGCAAAATTTCTACCTAAAACCCCAGTGCTGAACCCTCTCTCCTTGTAGATTGCAAATATAAAGAACTGCTTAAAACCAGGGAGTTGTATATTTTCATTGCTGCTACCACACCAAACTATGCTCAGGAGAGCAACACCAGCTCCACAATTGCTCGGGAAGGGATGCCAGAGGGACAAAAGCTTAGCATCACCGTACAGTCTGCAAATGGATGTAAAAACCTCATGCTTCAGAAGTGGGACTTCTTTGTCTTCCTAACTCAGCATCACATTTTCAGTCTGTACGCTGAATGGTGGCTTATTTTGGTTTGCTTGCTTTGTTTGCTGAAGAAGATTGTTAAAATAACCATCACACCCTTCCAGTGGCTGCACTGGGCATAGATTCAAATGGTGTTTAAGATCAACCAAAACCAGCAAGAGCCTCAAAGCCCATCGACACAAGAGGGAAACACCCAGCTCTAACATGACACAGCACGATGAAAACACAGCTCGGACTTTGCTAAAGCAATGCTGGAAGAAAATGCTGTAGCACCTCCCATGCTGTTTGCCGATTACCTCTGTGGTACAACTCTTAAAGCAGCCCCAAAGCGACGGGATGGGGAAATCAGCTTGGTCTGTGCTTTGGGACTTGAATCTATATTCCCCGGACTTATCTTACAATGGGAATACCAACTGCTGAGCCGCACGGACGAAGCGATACTCTGCGCTGCTTTTTTTGCAATTATGCCCATTGCTATCAGGGCACAGGATCATCTGAGAGTTACTGCATGGCCTAGCTAGTCTATAAGCACCTGGAAAGAGTACAAAACATGGTCACAGTTTTAAAAGGGATATTAAACAAATACCACAAAGCACAGAGTAATCCTGCTGTGCAAGAATCAGGATCTTCAACTTACTAGGTTTTCATTTTTCAGAAATACTCCCACACCCATCTTCTGTAAATTTGACGTAAATATTTTTGAATTTCAAAGTAGCTGCAAGCAGGCATCACCAGCAATATAGTTTCTGTCCTCTTTAAACATTCATATTAGCAAAATACCCACCTGTATTTTCAGACTCTTCAACTTTTAGGAAGGCTTCTCCCAAAAACCAAACTATGTATTCCCTAAAGTCCCAAAGCAAGCATCTAAAAAAAAAAAAACCAACATGTGTGCCATTTCTTCTTTCTGATTGAGATAGCCAAAAAGAAAAAATCTACAAGGACTTCTGGATGGAGTGAAAGGTGTTAAGGGATGATTTTTGAGCTTATGTATGCTGGCTAAACAAACATCAATAGCAGAAATATGGCTAATACCAATTCTGTCAGGTTTAGCGGTACTTGAAAAAGGTGACCTGTTCCGAGAGCTACGGTGTGCGTAATAAGGACCCAAAAGGGTCTGGGATATAATGATTTGTAGGGTAATATTCAGATTCACAATATATGACCCTCTAAAGTGGTATTTGCTCAAAGCTTTATTTGACAGGCTGTAATACATTATTTATCTGCAAACTACTGCAGCACTGGCTCTGTTTACTGTTCTGGAGAAGCAGGCTGCCAGGATCGCTTGTCAAGTTGTGTATACAACTATGACAGGGGAAGGAAAAAAAGAAAAAAAAAAAAAAGGGGGAAAAAACTGTACATTGTCCCCGAAATCTCCTCTGTCCAAAAAAAAAAAAAAA